TATCACACTACCTGCATATCACTGCTTCACAAACCTGTCAAAATTACAATTGGTTTATTGTGAGAAAGTGCATATGTCGTACGGTGTCCGATTTGGGAGGAGCGTACACCAAATTGATACGATGGGGTTGTTTCATTTTCAGAAATTTCGTCCTAGTTTCATTCACCGATTCGAAAGATACGCAGCAAAGTCAGGCCACATGATGGTGATTCGTCCTCTAGGCGTGGGGTCAAACTGAACAGCAATGGTATCATCAGAATTGATTCTTTCTCTGTTGACAGAAAACCTTCTTCAGACCAGGTGGATAAGTTGACAGGTCGATGGAGTTATAACTCAGACGGAAAACTAATGAGAATTTAGTGCTGAACGTCAGTCAGAATTTATTGTTTGTTGGTTAGTGTAGATGATTGCCACTTACATCAAAACAATGATTGCGCTGAATCAAAATCTTATGGCCATATCCTTCCAGTGAGATATTCATGTTTGGTGTCATTCACTTTTTGTCTTGTTTGTGTGTTAAGGGGTGGTGGGACAATTGGATTAGGGCTGAGAAGACCAAGTGGATATTAATCAGCTTGGGTTTTGTATTTTAGACCCAAAACATTCCACTGATGACCGCACGCCTCCTCGGCTCACGTTGGCTGATCTGACATTGCTCTCCGTACGCTGTCCTTCTATTTTATTCAAGCTGAAATATTTGGCGAGTTCCACCGCACCGGCCACAAGTTTCACCAAGATAACCACTATCTTACATCAGCTTTAGGGATGTAGTGAAGCGATTTAGAACATGCACTTCTGTTTGCTCTTCTTCATGGTTGTGACAGAGGTAGTTATGTTACAAAAAGCAGACCGCATCATTGCGAACTTGGAATATACATGTTGGTAACGCGGTGGTCAGGAAACTGTCTTACATTTCCCAGAGCTCTGAATATATTGAATGAAGATGGACTTTCCATTACAAAATTACGTCTCGACGTACAGCTGCCACTCTGACTTAGTAGTTGAGCTTGAGCGCTACGATGATCTTACGGTCTACAGTGGTTGAAGCTCAGCCATACCAGGAAAACCAAAGAGGAGTGATCACGCCAAGAGCGGCGAGACCACCTACTTGGAGTAATCGTGTTACTAGACAGTCTGAGGGTAAAGTCTTACTGTCCTCTGTGATGGGAATGTGAGATAGTAAGGTATTCCCCGCAAGCGGCTAACATTTCCATATTCACGGAATCAACGACGCCGGATTCCCCCAAGGAAAGACGGGTTAGAAAAACTTGGCCCTAAAATCCGTACATTCCAATCGGTAAGCGGTCGACCATGACCGCGGGCGCATTATTTCCTGTGACCGAAATGCTTCCAAAAAGAGCTTTGTGTTGTTCCAAAGACACCTGTTGTGCACAACCGCATCAGGAGTGAGACACTTCCGTTCCACCTAGTTAGGACATGTCAAAATAGAAAACGGACATTGATTGCTCAGACCTTGTAATCCAAACAGATTGATGTATGCTGTTCCTCTGAAACACGCTTACAAGACCCAAAGGTTGTAGGACAGCTTAAAACGCCAAGGACGAACCCAGATCTTTCACATTGCACTTGTAAGGGAATAGTCGGCAACTCGCACTGTAGTTTTATCATTGATAAATAAACACCTTTGATTCGTTGCAAAGGTTCAGCTAGAAACTAAAACGTGTTAATTATAGGGTGTTTTGAGGGTCCGAACTGCACTGTTCACTCTGGTGGACAGTAGAACTCGTCTGACTGACAGTTGGCCAGCCTATACGAGACGTGTCTGGATTATCCAATCCGAAAACGTCAACTTGTTCGTGATATTTCATTACTTCGTGGCTACTGCTGAGATTGAAAGTCTGATTTCGACCTGCCATTCTTTACAAACCCATGGATCAAACAAACCCATGATCAAACAAAGGATCACACGATCAATTTTATGTCTCTTAGTAATAGAAAACCATTGTGTTTTATCCGAGTGCGCAACACAGACATTATAGTTACCTTCATTGAAATAAGCGGCTCACGAATCTGGAAGGAATTTCGTACTGACAACCCTTCTGCGTGACTGACTCGAACTTACGCAACGCCCTTCGTATTTTCATCAGTCTGAGCCTGTGGTCGGTAGAACATTGCCATCCCCGTGCAGATTCATCCAGCAGAGTTTATTCGTTCTTCACCTCGCGAGCCGCATAATCAGGAACAAGAAAATTCACACTGCTGCACGTCTCAACATGTGCTCATGTGACCATCGCTGACCCTTTTCTCTGCCCTCCCACTTTATCACAATGACCTGAATTGACCCCATTACGTATGACCTGGGGTAGCTGAATAATGTCCATGCCCCTGACTTTACAAAATACCACGCGTAGCCAGGGCAAACTCAACACCTGAAAGGATTTTTTACGTCTACATCCTTAATATAGCCAATCCATGCAGATACATAGCTGACAAATTCAGCTATATTCAGAATTGAGGTAGGTCTAGCAGCAGTCCAACTTACATCCCCAACAGTCACATGGACAATCGGAATGACACCAGCAAGACGAACGTTATGGACATTAATTAGTGACTCGTACAAAATTTTGGTTCGGTGCAGATGTGCATTGCCTGGTTGGTTTGAGCGGGTCTCCGCACCCCTAGTGCGCATCCATCGTTGGCGCAGTGACCGGACAAATAATCATGGTGGAGAACGCTTTCGGTCTCCCGGTGTTTGGCCCACCCAAATCGAATTAATTTGCGCTGTCGAAGTAAACAAGTGACCGCGTAAGGCTGCTCTCAAGAGCATCGGTCGATTCGAAACAACGGCCACACAAATAGTGGCTGAAACCAAAACGTTCAATCACCAGTGGCTGATCACTGTAGTAAATCGCGCTTAGACTGAATATAGCGCCACACATCCCGAAATCACGGAATTCACAACTTCCGATCGGGTGTTGGCTGTTAAAAAATAGCTTGGGATTTTTCGCATTAGCCGAGTCCCGTAAGAAAAAGGCACCGTGAACACAAAAGCGGTTGATATACGTGATTTATTTACATCCCGTCCACCCCTGGATGATCGGAGTCCGTTGACTGGGGCACCAAAAAACAGTTATTTCCCTTGTCATCGCAACCTTGTTTACCTTTGGACATGCGGATGACATCTGCTGGCGTCGTCCCACCTGACATTTCATGCATATTTTGCGTACGCGTCAGGGATGTGCGCATCTAGATATACTGCGTATGTGAGCCCAGCCACATGCACACCACACAACCTAAGTGGTATGACGTGGTGAAAAAAAACAGTATATTTAACCGGAAAATTGGTTGGTTGTATGAGGTTCCGTGACTCGTAGAATTCACGTCCACATCACTCTCATTTGAACAGATCTGCTCAAAATTATCCGCGCAATTAGCGTGCTGAGATCACACCAAATGTGAGGAGCTATGAACTCCAGTTCTGCGCTTATTAGATATTACCGGTAGTGCATATCGTCAGACATGTTGGAGTTTGAACTCATGAATGCGAAGAGATTGTTATTAATACTCCATTGCACATGATCATCCTCCAAACTTCCAAAACTCCTATGCTATTGTCTCTTCATACAACCCTCGCCCTATCCGTCGTTGTCCTCTCAGTTTCTACTGATGATTTTGGATATCACAATGAGGTTGTAACTTCCAAGTTCGGCCATAATCAGCATGTTCGGATAATTTACTTGAGAAAACAATGACTCTGGTGTGCGAACAATCGCCAGGGACGCTCACATGGGGCAAACGCTTTCTGCTTCACAGTGAACGACACCTAAACTGCATGCTATTGATTACTCCTTGGTCAAGTTTCCGAGTTCCTGGTCGTCGAAAATCACCACGGGAACACACTGATTATGGTCTCCATAATCACAAGCCAAAATTCAGACATGTTTTCCCGCGACAGTTTAAGAAATCTCGCAAATTTATTCTGTACAAAACGCAAGACGTTTATCGGCCTGTCTGCCTCCTTTGCTCAATTTCTTTTCCTCACGGTTTTAGACAACTGATCCTGCTGCCGGAAAGGAGACAACATGCATTTTACTGCCCAAAGGAAATGAGTCGCGAAATCTGGTTTCTTTCGTATTTCGGAGGATTTGACTTCGGCGTTCCTAACCAAAGTTTTATCCGAATGTTTTGACTCACTAGACACGATAAGCACATCCGAAAGGGCTAAGGTGACCTCATTTATCTAGACCTTTCCATGTGATTGAGCCCTGAGCTCCCACTGGGGCATCGGTGCTAGCTGGAAAGAAAAATCTTAACTTAATTCAGCTCAAACTTTGCTTAACCTTAAGCTCAGACAATGTGTCATACGTGTTCGACACTGCGAATCCCATTTCCATTTTTACCTACCCGGATGTAATTAGTGGACAGAATACCGTCGATAAGTTTGATGAAAAATCTTCGACAACCCACGACCGGTTTTGCCTTTCTTGTAGCCCATTATTTGGTTGCAGTCTCTGAGTTTCTGTGGACCTTATGATCTGACTCCCGACATACACTTATTTTGTAAACTAATCTGGTTTTGACGGGAGACACATTTGAATCCCAGCTGAATCTCCCACTCATAATATCCACACACTGTATGGCTTGTGGCGACTCATGCGTAATATCACGATAAACGACCAGAATGATGTTCCTCAGCTGACCATGCATTACTGGCTTGTTTGTGTGGATTCTGCACTTCAGGTAATTTCACAGAAGAAAGTTCAGCGGACTGAGGCCCAAAGATCTAGCTGGACACCCAAACGGTCCAGTTCGATGGAACTACAAATTCCTCAACTATTCACCCATACATTCACGAACAACTGGGGCACAGTGAGGTGGCGCGTCACCACATTGGACTAATTAGGTCGTCTACCACTAGCTGTTGGTTTACCTAGTTTTGAAGCCGTTGTTCGTAGAAATAAACTGGAAATAAGGAAAGGGAGTAGGAGCGCCACCTACCGGTCATGTTACTTAAGAACAAGTAAGGCACGACCCCTTACCTCCAACGGATCCAATTCGAACTGAGATTTGCACTATGCTATACGCCAGAAGCCCATCACCGTCGTTCATTAGTGGGGCTTTATTGAATTTGGCCATTGATTGAAACCGTCTCACCCGTAGGAGAGACACAGAGTTTACCCACCTCCGCATTCATACGACCCAAAAATCACTTCCAAACGCAAGCCGCTTTTCCAGATTTCCGTAGAGTAGATAATGCTCCAATCTCATGAACAGTGTGGTATGTGTGTCACAAGACGGACTGTTAGCCAGGCGCGATGGGGGTTGTGACTCTTGTTGGGACTAGCAGACACCGGAATTTCTCACTCGGCCAAGCTTATCTGTATTATGCTAGGTGAAGTGTGCATGTAGGCGGTGTTGACTCAGGGCAATCTTTGTCGGAAAAAGGCGGGAAAAATCAGCGCACATCAATTGGGTGACCAAGTTCGTGTCAACACCGTGGGCCACGTACGGTGGGCTACCAAGCCAGCTTTCGATTGGCGGCACTTGCCACATTCCTCACACATGAGCTTCACGAGTCTGTCCTGTGTACTTGTTGGAACTGGCGCGGATGCATCAGATGATTCATATTGTACGTTGTCGAAACTAACCAAACAGGGTGGTGTCTGGAGTTGCTAAACCCATAGTTCATCAGACTGACGTCCGGTCACCCAGTCGTAACCACGGGGAGGTGATTAGACAGTCCACAAAACATTTAATTCGGTGATCATGTACCGTATACGTCGATGGTTGGATTTCTGAACGATTCTCCGTATTTTCCCATAGAAAATTCAATTCACTGTGTGTCCCATGCATAACCCGCCCAATCTGTTTGTGTCCTATTCGCTACAGGCGTGACAGTAGTCAGCCAACAAAAGTCCCTGAACCTATCTGGCTGTTATGGACCACACGCCATCATCTTGGACTTTTTTGAACAGATGAGCGGTCTCATCTATGTTGCAGCCTACCTATCTCCACCATACCTCATCATTCTCTGCAATCGTTCGTCCATCACCAAATCAATCGGTTTATCTTGGACGGTCAACACTGGAGCAAAAGCCTAAGCCATTTTCACTGTCGTATGAAGTGTAAAATCCGGTCGTCGCCGAGCTGTTTTTCGAGACGCCCACAAACGCAGCGGTTGTATCTCGCCTCCTTCTTACCATTAGGAACCCCAAGCTGTTTCGGAGGTTATGGTGATTAGGTTGCACCCACAATTCGGTGCTCGTGTTATCACCTGTCTTTCCACATGCACTCTCAATCGACTGAACGGCTTGCCCTCTGCCTGAAGCAGCTTCACCACTAAAGCGTGAGCCATAGCTGGGCTGGCGACCACCAGGCCATGAAAGCCACTAAGCCAGGGTTAGGATGACTAGTAGATTAGCCAACGTAGCCACAGTCCGGCACTTGAATGACAGGCCTCGTTGTACGTTCGTCCTGTGGAGCCGAGCTCACGGTGCGGCCGATGCTTGGCTCGCATTCCAACGTGACCTACTTTGGTGAGTCATCGATAGTGGGACTGAGCAACACGTGCGTTTGATTCGGGAGCGTCATACATGCCTTACCAAGATGTTTAGCTCTTGGGTTGGCCGCTCGTGCGCATCGACGCAAATCAGGCTTCAGCAGACCGACGTGCGTTGAAGTGCCTTCAGCAGGTGAATAAATCCTAAATACAAGAGAATTTTCTAGACAAAGGGGGCTGGGCAGAGTTGCTTGAGTGAAGGGGATTCAGAAAAAAATGATTGGTTAGATATCCGAGGAGAACGTCTCCGCGTTCCTTATGGGTTGAAAAAATACATGCCAATAGGATAAGTACTTCATTGAACACATTCACAATTCCAGTAGATGGAAATGTATTATGCACTGTTGCAGTACATCGCTAGTGATGCAGTGCGGTTGCTAGTTAATGAATTAGTGGCCTTTATCTGACTACGATATGCAAGTTTGCTTCCGTTCCGACAATTTTATGTGGAGTGATGATGCCGCGAGTTTGGTTATTCCCGATCAAGTGACGTCCTTACTCGAACACACCTTCATTTCACTAATCAGTCGATTCCGTTGTACTTGTCAATTGTTATTTTCCTGCCCAATACCATCTCTTTTCTTCCTGTCACGTTACTGTACAGTTTGGTTTCAAGAAGCCCCTGCTTCTTGGGCTCAACGGGACTTTAGGCCTTTTGCTGAGTGACTTGTGACTGGCGGTCCAATAACATTTGCTGGCACTAATTCTCACAGTGAACAAAAATTTTAGTGGCAAATGTTGGACTTATCCGTTCATGTCAGTGGTTTAATACTGTGCCTACCGGAGGTCTGGAATACCAGAAAAGTAGAACCCTCTGTTCTTGGTGTGCTATTTCAACGGAGTACGGTCCTTCGGAACTTCCTTTTGTGGACTGCGAGTCAAGATTTCCTTGGATTGTTCTCCTTGTGACATTATATCTGACTGACGTCATTAGTTTGTTCTGTTCATTAGAGACTTCTTAGGGCCATTAACCAATACAGGCCAATTGCTCATATTTTGTGGTATTGCAGTTTCTCAAAGCGAAACTGTTTATTTGCTTGTATACGTTTTGAGCACCTCAGACATTTGAGATTGCACTGTCACTCCGCCATTTTACTTCCAATAAACCGGAGACCGTCTACAGGACTCCTCGTATAGCTCAGTACCTCGCTTTTGTTAACATAAGCTGGTCCATCTTAGGCGCTGCAAGACAATTTTTGCGTTTTTTCTTCTGGAAGTGACCAATCATTGAAATGGGGTGGATCAATGTTCTTTTTATCCACTGTTCCATTTGGACGAAGAAAATGGCGGGTTTGAGTAGTTTCCATTCCTAAGTTTTTTCTCTTACCAACAGCCGGTTGGTTGTGGTGGTAACTGTGGAGAAATACGGCTACTTAATGATCCGCTTGTGATGTTTACTCCCAGCAAATTAGATTGTGCTCCGAAAAATCTCATTTTATGTCTAGAAGACTTGGTTTGAGCAAGGATTTTACCCACTAGAATAAGTTTACTTTGTGTGAATATCTTGCTGCTTCAGTGAGCTGTGCTCTGTTTGGACAGGTTGATCAGATAGAATGAGATCCTCGAGTTCTATGAGATGTTTTCAATTTGCTACATCATACAAATATACCTCGGCATATAACCATAAGATGTCCACATGAAAAATAATACGGTTACTAAAATGACTCGGGATCACAATGAACGTATCCCTATGTTAATTTTGGGTCACGTAAGGAGCTTACAGTTCCAGGGCACACAACACCACACGTTTCCTGCTTGCCATTTCGAGTCTCAATATATCTAAACGGTCAACTATCCATACCGCTAATGGGTGCACCTGAATTTCATACGTACAACTCACGACAGAAGACCACGCTGTTCAGCCTACCGCTCAGTGGGAGCTATTCGCTGTCCAGTGAGTGTGGCCAAGTAAAGGGTGCAAACATGGTAGGCAGTCTGGGGCATTTGCCTACAATTGGGCCCCACTTCATGAGACATCAGGGGACACGAGTTGCCAGTGTGATGTGTAGCGGAGTCAGTGGTCCGTTTCCCGAACAGAGCAACTCGCTGTGGACAAGTTAGGATAACCCAGTTGACTACAAACTGTAGAACTGGGATCAATCGATTTGGGATCAGTTGCAGGGTGATTCATCCAACAAACCAAGCTTCATGAGCAACGTAGACTGTAAGCGCAAGACATCTGTTACCTGGCGTGATGGTAAGGCAAGCACTCGATGGAGTGTGCAGTCACGGACGGATTTCGAACTAAATCAATAATCCTCCTCCGCTCGTCTTCACTTGTAGTGGCTTTACGTCTTAGTGGTTCTACTACAAGGATGGGTGGTGGGACAGGAATGTAGACCGTTTAAATTGTTCAGTCGTGACAAGTTACTGAATTCATGATTTCGTTCCTAGTGGTTAATGAACACAACTACCAATATGTATCTGAGGTATCTGTTCAGTACAGAGTCAAATCTGAGTGGCGTTCAGGATTCGACGGTAGTTTTCTTCCAATTAGAACTTCCATGGCCGACCTAGAATTCATGAAGAGGCGGGACTTTGGTAAAGTGGGATGTGAAGGTCAGCGAAGTAAATGAACGATTGAAACAGATTGCCCACTACACGTATGTATGGAGAGGAGAACAACACAAATGAAAATAAATGGTATTGCCGAACGAAATAGTGTATTTAGGTACTAATTGCAAAAAGAAGTTTCCCTTTCTGACAGGTTATCCAGTTCGAATAGGGTCACACAAATGGTTTCGAATAACATGACAGTGATTCGTTAGGAAACATTTACATAGGCTTGTCGGTGAGCATATTTTAGAACAAGTGTCTAGCATAACGGATTTCAACGCCGTCCTCGGAACAGAAACATAATTAAACGGTCATCCAGCATACCGTGCTAAGAAGTCCGATTGGTCTAATAAACACTGAGTCTTGTTGGCTCAGTATGTCATACTTCGCACTAGTGTACGGTTACAGATCGTGGCAATCCGCTTGAGCTGCCCAACACAGCAGTTTAAACCCGTTCTGTGGACCACAGGAACGATGCACAATATTTGCATTCTCTAGAACGCGCCACACATGTGTGGTCAGGTTACGCGACTAGTCAGGTAGGTCAAATGTCTGCGCGATTGCTTTGGCGCATTAGTGTGCTTAATAGGTCCCTCGAATTGTGCAGCCTCCAGTGCCATCATGTGCTGTTGTTCCCAATCTATTGTCAGATAAACAATGTGGCTTTGTTCTTTCTAGTTTCCAAGAGACTTCGGTAACAATCTTTTGCGCCATGACCAATTTTTGACTTAATTGAAGAACTAAATTCAAAAAAGAATAGTTTAAAACCTGCGGTGGATTCGGTGCTTGTCAGGCTAATGTGTGGTGGTAGTCTCAAGGCACGGAAATGTCCGGGTCGAGTTAGTGCGACGAGCGGTATGCACAGTCCACAAAAACTTCTTAGTTCTCATTTCGGGAGGAGACCAACCACTTCAGATGTCCATGATAAGTGGACGTTATTTTCAACATTAGAATGCAGGGTGGCTTCACTTGAAGCAGGAGAAACTTTTTGCATTTTAGGTAAGCGCCTGGAACTACGAGC